TGGCTCCCGTTCAGCTTTTCACCCCTCTGGACCCCCTCCTGCAGCTCTCTGTACCCCGGTTCCTCAAACCACTTTTATCGTACCCCAAACCTTCCTGAGAGCGGGGTTTTCCCTGAGTGATGGGATGGGCTGGAGCCACGAACCCAAGATCACATCGGGAGGGGGGGGGGGGGGGGGGCGGAGGGTCTGCCCAAGGCCCAGCAGGAAACCGATCTAAAACCCACCACACATCCCAATTTCTCCATTAAACACCGCAAACCACCAGCCTACCAGCACAGCACCGAGCCGAGGCCTGGTCCAACCGATCCCAAAGAGCTGAGAGACGTGAAACAGCATCCAAACGACCCAACCTCCCCTCCTCCTTTCCCTCAGGACCTGAAGCAGCGCTGCGGCCTCCTCACAGTCTCCCCTCCCACCCCCACACACAAAAACGCCCCGGCCTCCCCTCAGCGCTCCCCTCAGTCTCCAACCCGGTTTCTCACCGAAGCAGACGGTCGCCAGGTCTCCGGTAGGGCTGCCTGCTGCCTGTTAGCGGCTGTGGGGCCGGGGCTGAACTCCGCCGCCCGCTCCCGCCGCACTCGACCTCCCGCAACAAAATGGCGGCGGCGGTCGCAGCGCCCGCCTTCTTCCCGCCGCCCAGAGCACAGCCGGCCAAAATGGCGGCGCGCAGGCGCAGTAAGGGGCGAGCACAGAGCTGTCCGCTATTGGGCGGACGCGATGGTCGTTCTTCTCTGCCATTGGTCAACCAGTGCGCTGTGGGCAGGACTTTGGCCAGGGTGGGCGGGGCTACGGTCGCGGCCTAGCTGCGCACATGCGTGGCGGCGTGCGGGGCGCTGAGCGCCGCGGCGGGGCCGGGGCAGCGCGGTGCGGTTGGGCCGAGACGTTCTGGAAGGCCTGACGGTGCCTCCATCCGCTTCCGTGGCCCGGTTGAGCCTGTGGGCGTTGCGAGGCGCTAAGGCAGGCCGCGGCCTGGCAGACGAGGGCGCTGGCGGCCCTGCGCTGTTCGGTGCGAGATCAGAACCGGTTCCTCCCGCCCCGCCCGGCGCCGTGCCTCGCCGTGTCTCCATGGGAGCGACGCCCCCCAGCCCCCCCGCAGCTCACCCCCCATGAGGGGCCGGGGTCACCTTCCCAGTAGTGCTCAGCCCCAATATGGGCCCGTGGATGAGCCCAGAGCAGACATCCCCCCTTTTCCCTGGGGATGAGGGAGCTGACACAACGCTGCTGGTGGGATCGATGCCTTTATTGCTTAGCCAGGTCCCTGCGGGACCCCCGGGTGCACGAGGAGCAAAGGGTGGACATGTGGGGTGGGGTGGGGGGGCTCTGCTTTGGGGGGTGCCGTGGTTGGGTGCTGTGGAGCTGGAGCCCGGCTCAGGCGTTCTCCCAGAAGAAAGTGTTGCAGGCCACGGTGAGGGCGGCCACCAGAACCACGTACTCCTGGAAGTCCACCTCCCCGTCGCCGTTCTCGTCCAGATCCTGCATGATCTTCTCCACAGCCCCCGTGTCCTTCTGGGTCTGGTGGGGGGGGACAGGACGGCAGGGGTGAGCCCCAGGGGCTGGCAGCCCGTTGGGACACCCCATGTGTCCCCCAGCACGGCTCCTACCTCCAGGAAGCAGCCCAGCTCGCTCTGCAGCAGCTCCTTCAGCTCCTTCTTGCTCAGCTTGTACTTATCCCCCTCTTTGCCCGAGTAGTGGTGGAAGACGTTGATGAGAGTCTCCATGGCCCCTTCCAGCTGCGATGCCATGGCTCCGGCTGTGGGAGGCACCCGCTGTGTTACAGGGCCAGCCTTGGATCGCAGTTCTCCCCCCAACCCCATCCTGCAAGCATTGCCCACCCTGCACCCCCCACCCAGATGCCATGCAGAACACCATCAGCGAGGCTGTGGGGTGCCCCGCTCCCTCCTCCCCCCCTTTTTTAATGGGGCGCTGCTGCTGCGAACCCCCTTGATGGTATCAAACCACGGTGGGTACCCGCGGTCCCTCCGTCACCCGGCGCTCACCTGAGCTCCCCGCCGTGCCAAGTGCTGGGCTGGGCTGCCCAGGGATGTTAAATAAGCTCCAGGCCCCCTCCCTCCGGGAGGATCCGATACCAGGGCTGGACAGCCGGGCTGGCACCGTTGGGACGCCCTGCGCTGCCTTCGCTGGGCTTGGGAGGTGGGGACACCCCTCTGGCCCCGCTGCTCACCCCACACCTGGAGGAGCACTTCCAGCCCTTGCAGTGCTTATGGGGCGCTTCGGGGTGCTCTGCATCTCCCCCGTAACTTCACACATCCCTTTTTGCCACCTCTGCGGTCCCTTGGGATGAGCAGCAGTGGGATGCTGGGGACGGGGCGGGCCGGCTCTGGGTCAAACCGTGACCCCGAGTGTGACCCATTGGGCATCCCCCATCTGTCAGCGCTGTGGTGCGGGATGGATCCGGCCCCATCCCTCCTTGGTGGCTGATGTGTGCGGGTATCCGGTGTCCTCGGTGCCGGCGGGGGGAACTGGCGGGGGCTATCGGGTGACGCAGCGCGGTCCCCCCGCTCCCTGCTCACAGAAAGGCCCTTGTCCCATTAAAAAAGCCCCACAATCCCTGCCCGAAGGTTGCCTCAGCAACGGTACGGCTAAAGAAACCAGATTCCTGGCCTCGCTGATAATCCTGGCTCTCGTTACCACCCAGCATCCGCGCCACCCAGCCGTGCCCGCTGCTCCTCCCCATCCCTGGATGTCCTCCCCCCTTCCCACAGTGGTGCTGAGCCCCCAAACCGGGGCAGCCAGGGCCGTCCCCGATGCAGGGGGCTTCTGGGTGCTGGGCTGTGGTGTTTTCACAAGAGCTGGGTGGTGCCAGACTCTTTATCCCAGATTCCAACCCTAATTTGGGGCTAATTATATCCTGCTCCCTCCGTTTCCACTTTCCGCACTTCCTGTCCCTGTGGTTGAGAAATGCTGCGGCGTGGGGACCCCCAAAAGCCAACATCCCCCTAACTGTGCCACCCTGATCCCGTGGGGGTCCTGAGCCTGTCCTGGGGATGGAGAGATGGGGGGGGGGTTGGATTTGGGCTGAATTGCAGGATTCTGGGGGCTCTGCTGCTGGCCTGCAGCTGGAATAGCTCGGGTGGCTACAGAGGAGGTCTGGATGGAAGTGAGGAACCCAGATGGAACTGTGTGGATGATCTGGATGGAGAGGGTGATCCTGGGGGAAAGCATAGGCACTGCGTCGCTCCAGGACACGCTGCCTTTTTTCCATTAAGACCCAGCAGCCAGCACGGGGCAGGAGCAGAGCCCAGGGCATTGGGGGAAGGCAGCCCAGGGTGGGGAGCAGACCCCGGTGTCACTCACGTGTCGCTGGGGGGGGGGTTGGCGGCGGTGGCACCTTCGTCCCCGTCTCAGCAGTGGGCAGAATGCGGCCGCCCCTTCCGGGACTGCCTGACCCTGGCACTGCATGGCCTGCACAGCTGCTGCAGGATTGCCCTGGGTGTAAAAATAACCCCGATCCCTTGCAGCCTTTGGCACGGGTGGGTGACGGGAGCCAGGCGGTGGCCGTACAGCTCCCATCACTGCGCTGAGCTCAGCTGGGCTCTGCCCCGCTTTTATCAAACCCCAAACCTTCCTGAGAGCAGGAAATGCTCGGGTGTTCCCTGAATGGTGAGCTGGGTTGGAGCCACGAACCCAAAATCACATCGGAGGGGGGGGTCTGTCCAAGCAATGGGACCGGGTGCCACCCGGCCCGTCCGCACTGGCAGCTCCCCGGAACAGCTCTTACCAAACTGGGAGCAGCGAGGGACGTGCCAGGAGGTTTACACACAGCCTGGAACAGGTTTCAGCCTCTGCGACTCCCGTGCTCCACTTTGACCCAGCTAAACCAGTTGCTCCAGTTGCTGGTGCCGGGGCTGGGCTTGATCTTGTCTCTCCGATCCATTGCCGGAGCTTGGAAGAGGCTTTTCCATCTCTGGAGTCTGGGAGAGGAGAAGCTGCTGGGTGTGCGCTGTGCCGTGGTTGGGGACATGGCGGTGGCACGTGGTCTGGTGGCCTTATCCCATCTCTTCAATGGATGGGGTGGGCGATGAGTTTGGGACGGTGTCACAGCCCGCAGTCACCCTCCCTGGTGGAGCAGGACGGGCTGGGACAGCACCAGGATGTGGTGGTGGGCACCGACCCCACATCTGACCCCAAGCTTTCACCCCAGGACCTGCAGTCCCTGCGATGCTCACTCGTCCTGATAGCGTTGGGGACCCTGAAGCCACCACTCCCTACATGTCCCCTCCTGGGGCCATGCAGCGTCCGCTCCCTCCTCACCCCATCCTGGCACCCCAAATTCCAGGGGTGACGAGTCACGGCCCGCCTGGCTTTGGGGCGCTGACTCACCCCCAATTTGTCCCCGTCCCTTCCGAGCCTGAGTCACCCCGGCGGTTTCCCATCTCGGTCCCCTGACGTGGGGCTCAGCGGAAGGGCTGTCCCCGTCCCCCTGTCACCCCGGGATGGGGACGGACCGGATGGAGTGCAGGAAGGCAATTCCTGCCCCGTGAGCTGGTGTGACGGGTGTGAGGGTGGGGATGGGCTGCCTGCTGCTGGAGTCACCCTGTCCCCATGGACGGGTGGAAAGAGTGCGTCAGGGTTGGTGACACTGCCCTGCGCTCTGGTCCCCAAAATGTGTGGCTGTGGGGTCCCCAAAGGGGCATCCCTGCATCCATACACGGCAGTGATGGGGGTGCTTGCCCTGTGTCCTTGCTCATTGTCACACTCGGTGTCACCTGGCCTTGGGGGACACCCCAAAAACCTCTGCTCTGGTAGGGACCAAGGGTGGACAGCAGTTAAGATGCTGCTGTGCTGCTGCTGGGGAGGGTCCCTGTGTCCCCTCCATCCCGTGCCACCAGTGCTGCGCCATGGGGACGGCTCAGGGCGCCGTGGGAATGGCTGTGCCACAGCGGAGCCGTGTGGGGCTGCCGTACACCGCGATTACAGAGGAGCGCTCGGGCAGTTCCAACCTCCTAATTAATTTGGATTAATTAATTTTCACAAAGCCCACTATTAATAGGGGTGATGTCAGCCGGCGGTGAGTCACAACTCTCACTTGGAGAAGGGTGATCCCAGCCCAGGCTTCGAAGCTGGGACAAACTGTTATGGGATGAAAGGGACAAAGGGGACAGCGTTCCCATCCCATGTGTGTCCCCATTTCCATAGCAAAACAGAGCCTGGGAAGCACTGGGGAAGGGGGGGGAGGAGGGGGGGTACACACCTTGCACCCTACAACCATCTGGGTGGCTCGGTGCAGCGAATGTGCCCTGGGACCCCGTGGTTCATCCCATAACCCATCCCATGTCCCCACTGCACGGTGCTGGCTGTGCATGGAGCGCTGCTGCTGTGCGGGGAGGGGACGGGAAGCTGCTGCCGGGCGGCGTCTGAAACGGGAAACCCAACGGGAAGCCCAGCACAGGGAGGGGGGGGGGGGGGGGGGGTGAGGGACCGCGCACTGCAATCTACCACTGTAAAGACCCCGCAGGGGGGCTGCAGTTGAGTGGGGTAAGTGGGATCACCGCCCCCATCCCCACCCTCTGGCAACGGCCATGAGGCCCCGAGGTGCCACCGTCCCCTTCCGGGTGTCAGCTGCCCTCCCCCGTGGCACATGATGGCTGTGGGGTGGGGGGGGTTGTTTCATCCCTGCGGTGTAGAAGGGCAGCCCCCACTTCTGCAGGGCTGAGGCCACTCAAATTCGCTGCACCTTATGCTGGGAATGGTGGGGGTCCTCGCGTTCCCATTGGGCATCACCCCCTCCCCCCAGGACGCTCCTCTCCCCGCAGCCCCCATGGCTGCAGCTGAGCTGACCCCAGTGGAGACGGCCATCGAGACCATCGTCACCGTGTTCGTCTCCCACACGAGGAAGGAGGGTCGAATGGGGACAATGACGGCCACCGCGTTCCAGGAGCTGCTACGGCTGCAGCTGCCCAACGTGATGAAGGTGAAGATGGGCTGTGGAGGGCTGGAGGTGGGGGGTCCTGGTCTCCGTGGGGACACTTTGAGCTGTGGGGCTGTTCCCTGCATCTGGGGATCTGTGAGAGTGGAAAAGCAAAACTGAAAGCATCCCAGAAGGGCTGAGGTGCTGCAGGTGGAGGGGCCGCGTGCTTCTGTGCTGGGGGGGGACTGACAGCGTCCATCTGTCCATCCGCCCCTCTTGTTTCCTCGGTCTGGGCTGTGGTGCTGCCCCTCGTGTCATCCCCCTATGGGGACAGAGGTGTCCCCTGGTAGTGGTGGCCATCTGTCCCCATGCCCTCCCTTTAGGATGTCCCCTCCCTGGAGGAGCAGATGCGGATGCTGGATGTGAGCACAGACCAGGAGCTGACGTTTGAAGAGTTCTGGCGGCTGATGGGCGAGTTGGTCGGGGCCCTGTGGAGGGAGAAGGAGGGGAGGAAGAAGTGATGGGGATGGGGGGACCCTCATGAAGCAAAATAAAGAAGTTTTCATGGGCCTGGACATCTCTGCTATTCTTTGTGGAGCCCCCTGACGCAAGCAGCCCTGCCACAGAATCACAGAACCAACTAAGGTTGGAAAAGACTTCCAAGATCATCCGATCCAACTGCCATGCCCAGCAGCTGTGTCCCTCAGTGCCACATCCATACATTTCTTGACCAGATCCTGCCGTCTCCAAACTGCCTTTGTGCTGATTTGGATTGCAGGGTCCCACCTGCACCCCACGTACACAACAACGGGGTCCCACAGAGCAGCAGGGTGCACCCACGGCACTGCAGGCCTCAGCAGTGATGCTGTGGGCAGGCAGCCACCTCCAAGCCACCTATGTGGGGTCACCTGGGGATGTGACCCAGTGCATGGTGCATGGTAGCTGGTGCATGGTGCATGGTACCCAATGCTCAATGCATGGTACCTGGTGCCCAAAGCATGGTACCCAGTGCACGGTGCATGGTATCTGATGCATGGTGCATGATATCTGATGCCCAAAACGTGGTACCTGGTGCCCAAAGCATGGTACCTGGTGCATGGTGCGTGATATCTGATGCCCAAAACATGGTATCTGGTGCCCAAAGCATGGTACCTGGTGCACGGTGCATGGTATCTGATGCATGGTGCATGGTACCTAGTGCC